ATTATATAAAATGAATTTTAGAATGAAATTTAAATTGAATTTTTATGAATGGTTTGTTTTTTTTTTCTTAGGATTTTGGTTTAAGGCCGTAAGAGATTCGGCATAAAAACTTATATTATATTGGAATCCAACATCTCTTAAAGTGAAATGATCAAATATATTTTAATGATGATTGAACTTAAAAAAAATTAATAGATTTTTCTCATAAGAGCCCTGCCAGAACAATATCAACAAAATCATTTTATTTCTTAATTAAATATTTGTTGATAGATCAATACATCTTGAAAAGTAATCAAGCATCATTAGTTTTGAAAGGATCTCTTTTTTTTTTAATTCTTGAATTAACTAGCCTTGGTAACCCTTTAATAAAAATTTCAGTAATTTAAGCAACAATTTAGACTTCATTCACCAATCCAGTTAATCATTAATGCCATGGCTTAAAAAAAAATAATGCACTCAGTTATGTAGTTTTTACACAGTGGTTAAACGACTTATTTTGGGATTAATCAATCTTACTGACCCTTTAACAAAAATTTCAATAATTTGAACATTAATCTAGACTTTTTAACCAATCCAATTAATTAATCTTGACACGGCTTATGCATTGTTTAAAAAATTTATACTCACTTATGCATTGTATACATGGTGCCTGACATTGATGAGATGGATAAGGGTGGTGCTTAAATAGTAATAGTTGGTTATTCATGGTGATCATTGAAAGTTCAAATAAAATATATTTTGGGATAAAAAATTTTTTTTTTTCAAAAGTTTTATAAATTGAATTATCTGTCTTTTTTTTGTACTAAAAGTGAAAATTAAAAATCTTTTGCCTCTAGAAGCTTGTCATATGGGCCTTAAACAACCTTATCATATATTTTACAATCACAGGTAAAATTATTTTACTTGTTCAACCATTAGTGCTATTGTTATTATTATTATTATTATGATTGTTGTTGTTGTTGTTGTTGTTTAGTTTTTAATCAAAAGGAGGCAAATTTCCAAACTGAATAACACATTATTTTTTGTTGAACCAGGTTTTGATTCAATGATAAAATTAACCTTATTCACTAGTATAGAGCCTAATTTCAACTCGCTACTCTTACATGGAATGAAGGTATAGACTCTCCCTCTACCTATGGAAATCTTTTGAGTCCTTATCGTGACAAACTCATGTATGAACTCTCGATTTCACACATGACCCAATCCCCCATGGCTTCACCAGAATTGATTTATCCTCCATTATAGTTTGGAGATTATTGCAATAAGTATGGATTACCCATCTCTAGTTGGATTACTGACTCTCAGTACTTATTGGGAGACTTATGTTCAAGCTATCTTGATACAAATGATTATATGAAACTACATAATATGGACAAGTTGGATGCATAAGTTGCAAATGCATGTACTGTTTCCTTAATTTCTGAAATAATTACTGATTCTGATTTCTAGTTTAGTATTCACTCAAAGATAAAAGCGAACAATCATTTAGGAATATAGAGAGTATATTAATATAGACAAGAGATAAAACGTCAATCTTTAATTTACTGCAATGTTAATAAAGAAAAAAATGTTAAATAGCGTCGTTTAAATGAAAATATTCTTTACTCTCCAAAATTAAAAGTGATAATGCAAATTGTAGATTATGGGGGATATTTGACACGTTTTTGAACTTGGTAAACGAACACAACTGTCAAACTTACGGGATTTTTTCAGAAAATTATTTGATCTTTTTATTGTAACTAGAATTATGTCCCTGCATTGCACGAATTGTATTAGGTGTATTGTATAAAATTGTGAAATTATTATCACATGTAAGCCGAGCGTTATTGTCGCAATACGATAAATTTTGTGTTGGGTTTGTGATGTAATAATTCTTGTCCATATTGTATTGAGTAAATTAAATATATCTTTTGTATATATATATATATATATTTTATATTCCATTGCAAGATAGTGTATATTTGAAGGGTAATTCAGTATGATTCATTTATAGTAAAACTTTAGAAATAATAATCAATAAAACATATAATAACTTGGTAGTGTAAAACTAATAAACTCACAATAGAAGTATTAATGAACTCAAAATGAAAGAAAAAAAAATAAATGTAAGGATATATTATATTTTGTACAACGTCTCTTTAGTAATAATTTTTTCTGTTAGTTTTTCATGAAAAATAAAAGCACATATTTTATAAGGTTTTTCCTCCATTGAAATGGCTTTTATGATTTTTTTTCTTTAAAGAAAATTCCTCCACAGTGAACTTCACTCATAAATATGTGAAAAATCATTCTCACATATCTCGGATGGGAGGGACTCTTGGATCTCTAGAAGATCCCCTTAGAGCTTACCACCATGTTGCAATCTCATTCCTAACATTCAAATTAGACTTCTAATAGTCAAGTAAGATAACTTTCCAACTATATTTTTCCTTTGTCCCAATTAAATTAATGATGATCAATAAATATTAGTTTGTCCATCCAAAAATGATTGTCTAATTTAAGATTTCACTTTTCGTATTATCTCCTCCTTAAAAAAATGGTTCAAGTTGAAAAACTAAAATATAAAATTAGATAATTTAATTTGAAAATTTTTTAAAAAAATTAATATGAAAAATTGAATAAACTTTCATGGTTATTTATCAATTTAATAATTAATTTTTGGTTATAGGAATCTCATAAGTCCAATTTTAATATTTAAATTTTCAAAATTGGACTATTTTTTAGAACAGAGGTAGTAAAATTTATTTATAATAAAAATTAAATTAGATAATCATTTTGGCACATAGATAGTATTCATTCATACATTATGAAGTTGGACTCATCCTCGGAATCTTGTGAAAGATGGCGCAAAGGACAAAAATAACTCCACTTAAACTAAAATTGCACAAGTTTTGGGATGAGAAAATGTGCATATACCAAAATTAGATTCTGGTCATAATGTTTTAGATTTGGCTGTAGTCCTTGATAATCACTGCATGATGTTAATTGTAAAGATTTATATAGTACTTACTATAATTAATCGTCAGAGTTCTATAGGTGTTTTGACTCGGTTCAATTCTGGCGTCTTCACTTGTCAATTGCCATTTACCAGTGGTGTATAAGGTATCATAGATTGGGCCTGCTATGGTAACAATTCTAAGGCTAGCTAGACTTGTGACTATGAGTAAGCTACTGTATTAAGGGCATTTGAATCCTAGGTTTGGTTGGATCTTTGGTTATGTTCCGATGACTCAAGGATAGTCATTAATTAACAAGTAGACTTATAACTAACTTGGATGGCCTCTTACTCCACAATGACATCTATGATGAAATCTAAACGAACGGTATTTGGTCGAAATTTTTGCTCCCTTGGGGAGGAGAAACCTGAGTCGTTGGCATGGCATTACTCGTGGAATGTCCCAAAAAAAAAAAAAATGAATTCTATTTGCTAACAACTCATGATTGGGAAATTTAGTGAAAGAGATAGATATAGTGATTGTCATATTAGTTACATGAAGTAACATTAATAATTAAGATAAACTCAAAATCTATTAACTCAAATTTTGATTAGAGGTGAATATTAATTTACTCAATCTTTCTTCAACAGTAAAACACAGCTAAATTAATAACTTCAACCAATTAATAGTTTTCTCCCCGTCCAACTTGAGCAAAATCGATAAAATAATAAGACAATAATATTTTTAAAAATCTCTTATTTATTTGTTGGTCCTAGTAATGCTATATATTAATGCTTACCCTAAATCAAAAACATAATAAGAATAACTAAATATGTTTACTAAAATATGAACTGTTGATATTTATTTTTTAGTCTTTAAAGATTATATGGAATATGTTTGGATTTTACTATCGAAAAAAGTTTCGATACTTCCTTGATTCAGATGGTAAAGAAACTTGAAAATTACTTACTTTAGTAAGGATTCCTTTTTCCTTGAGAAAACTCTTTAAATTAATAATTTGTTAATTTATAAATTATTTAATAATTCTCGAAAATTTTATGATTGTCCCAGCACTATTAATTTAGAAAATTTTACTGTATATTGATTCTCTTAAACACCGTGAATTTACGTTAAATGTAAATTACAAAACCTAATTTGATCCCTTTTATGCTTGATTTTAACTATCCTTAAATTTACTCATCTTTGGTAGGGTTCTCGATTTTACAAAAATAAATAAATAAACAAATAAAAAGAAGAAGAAGGAGAGAAGAAGAAAGACTCGCTTTAAGTAGCTAACAAATGATAGGGCATTGTAACTAACAAGTAACTAGTTGAGTGGTAAAGGTACTTTGACTAATGTAACTAAGATCAAAGTTTTCGTTTATTTCTAGTGTACAATTGTGATGTGTTAGCGACATATATGCAGGAACTTGTACATAACAGAGGTTAATTTTGTCAATCATCTTTGTTCAGTTAATAGAAACAACCCTACCCCTTCAAGCAAAATACCCTAATTCATATGGTCATGTCTACATTAATTTTCACTCTGACTATTGATTTCTATTTCTGATTTTGATACTTACGATAGTGAAAACTGAAAAGTGTGATCTTTTAAAATCACGTAATGGCTTTTTTGTGTGTGTGTGTGTGTGTGTGTGAGAGAGAGAGAGAGAGAAATAAAAAAAAAAGAAAAAAGAAAAGGGAATTGGAAAATTTCTCAATTAACATTGATCTTTTGAATTTTTTTTCCTCTAATCAATACATTTGTTGAGGTTTCTACATCTAAATAGCACGTATGTCATTAAAACAAGAGAACAAACAAACAATACCTTACAAAATATTAAACATTTCTGGATTTCCCAGGAATAAAACCCCGCTTGCTCCAACTTAATTATACAGAATGAAAGAATCACATAAAATAAAAGTATTACCTACCTTCTTACCTTTTGATTTTTTCTATTTAAAGAAACCTGGAAACTAAAACATAAACACATACTACATTGTTCCATCCCTTCCTCTTCCCGCAGAATTACTCTCGAACATTCTCTAAATTGTAATTGCGAAATGGTTTTCATTTTGAGGTTGAGTAAGACCAACAAGCAGCAAATCAGCTTCCTCTCACTTGCTCTCCTGTTGTTGTTCATCCTTCATGCTTTCAACATCCAAACTCAAGCTCAGGACACATGTTGTTCGAGTTGTGATGATAGGTGGTATTCTTGTAAGCTCACTGTTGATTTGTGCGCAGAATATTACATAGATGGTTGTCCTAGGTACGATGACTGCGACAACGAAAGAAACTCGTGTTCCATAACATGTGACCCGGATAATGCTTCGTACGACTACTGTCCGTGGCCACAGGATCTAAACCAATGTTGCTCCCTCTGTAACCAAGCCTTGGAAGGTTGTCCTGGTGATTACAACGACTGCTCCCAGGCGACAACTAGCTGTTATGATGCTTGTAAAAGTCTTGGTGCCACTTGTGCTTGACACTCAGTTGCTTGCCTACCGCATCATCAATCCTACAAAGGTATACTCCCTTTATCCCATTATATATATATATATATATGTATTTCAACTCTGTTATATTGTTTCAGTAATGCAGAGTTGATCTTTTTTATTGCAACAGAAGGAGTACAAGTTCATATGGAATAGAGGAGGATGTATACAATACTTATACCTGATGGACGGCTGGTGGAATGGATTGTCATGTGTTTTAAGTTTTCTTCTATGTTTCAAAAGTGTGGTTAATTGTTGTGAATGTAAGGACTATGCATGTGAAGTGTAAATTAGGATGCTTTTGGCCAAGTATGGGTAACATATATTGGCCTTTTGCATTGCTAATACTTGCATCTAAACTTTTATTCTTGTTTTTCTCCCCCCTTGTAATTTGTTTTTCATTTTGATGATATTGTAATAAAAGACTTTTATAATCCATAAATATATGGGGATGTTGAATGGAAAATTGGCGCTAGCCAGAGGTTTACTTTCATCATCAACCCTATCCTAAAGATTTTCAGCTAACCAATTTTTCCATGTACGTTTGAAATTTTTGCCGATTTCGTCCAATTGGCCCAATTTTAATCAAACTTAACAGATTTTTGTTGTTTTTATAACAAAAACACCCTAATTGTCTCTAAAAATTATAAAAGTAATTCCTAAAATATGTAAAAATAACAAAATAACCTCTTTTTTTATTTTTTTTATTTCTATTTTTCTACTTTATTCTTCATATATTTTCTGGCTTGTATATGTTGGCAGTATAATTAATAAGTTTCCAGTTTTAATTTACCTTTTGTATTTGAACTTCTAGTTTATAATTTTTTTAAAAAAAATAAATAAAACAAAGAACAAAAAAACTAAAGAATTAGTTAAGAAAATGGATTGGAAATTCAAGATTTTCAAAGAATGATGATGCTCTGATGATTAAACAATGGTGGAAGCTCAGGATTAGAAGAGGGCTGTGGAGTAAATTTATTACATCTTTGTCTTCCACTGCAAAGAAAAAAACCTCTTGGCTGCTCATTCAGAAAGTCCATAGAAGGGCTTCTACGCATTCAAAAATCATAATATATAGAAGGGAAAGTTCTTTCTAGTTTGACAATTGCGCCGACTTTGGAGTGATATGGGATTTAGATCATCAACAGCCCCCTTGTCCCGAGCTCACTATTCAGGAATTCTTTGAAAATAAAGTTTTTGCTAACCATGTTCGTGACTTTCTTGAAATTTTTGAGCAGGATTTCTGTGAAGGAGATGATGTCCTCGTTTGGCAGCCTAACACTAAAGGGGATTTCTCAATCAAGTCGGCTTATGAGGTTACAAGGAGAAGGGGCGCAGAGGTGAAGGAGCTGAGCTTTGTGTGGGCTAAACAGGTTCCTTTAATGATTTCTTTCTTCATTTGGAAATTGCATAATAAATTATTGCCTTTTCTAGAAATTCTTAGTAGAATGGGGTTGCAAATCTTGCCTTCCATTTGCCCTTTTTGCAAGGTGCAATCTGAAAATATAGAGCATGTTTTCTTCGGTTGTCACAATATAATGAATGTATGGTCTTTTTTTTGCTGGAATGATGTGTATCAAAGGGGGCTTCTCATTGGTCTCAATGATTCGGAGTTGGTGGCGGAGGGGGGGTCATTTGTCGGCCTATGGAGTGTTTCACATTCTTATGCCTACAATTATTATAAGGGAGACGTGGAAGGCACGTAACAAAGTGATTTTTGAAGGCAACATCATAGAGACATCAAAACTGATTTTTGCAATCAAGATTCATGTTGGTGATCTTTTGAGAGTACATGACTTGAAAGTGGCAACATTGGCGGAGAAGCCTTTTTTTGGGGAATTTTTTGGGGCTACTTTGAAGAAGAAGCCGCGGCCTCTAGTTAAAGAGGTTAGATGGATTCCTCCTCCTTCTAATTCTTATGTCCTAAATACTGATAGTTCATTTGTTTTAGGGGAAGCGGGATATGGTTTTGTCATTCGAGGAAAGGAAGGTACTTTTATTTATGGTGAAAGTGGTTACCTTGGAGGTGTTAATAGCTATATGGCAGAGATAGCGGGGGCTCTCTTCAGATTTCGAAAGTGTGAAATGATAAATCTTTCTAATGTTTATTTACGAACTGATAATCAGAGTTTGGCTTGGGTATTGAACCATCCTTCGGCTTTCCCTTGGAGATTTCATCTTCTTTTTCAGGAAATGCTTTCTATTATACTCAGAAATGGGTATACAGTTTCTCATGTTTTTAGGGAAGCAAACTTTGTAGCTGGTAAGTTAGCCAAAAATGCATCTTCTGGTAATTCGGAAATGTATTTTTGGTTAGCTTCTTTACCTAGATATGTAAGGGGATTATTGGTCTCAGATCAATCTTCTTTCCCTTATATTCGTAGTAAGGCCACATGATGTACTATGGTATGATACATGCTCTGCCATAAGCTTTTGTTATTTTATTAATAATAAAAAGCAAGGGACGGGTGAAAATAGGGAACTAGCTAGTATAAATGTTCATCCCTTGGGTAGACCCCTTGGGTGCATTGTACTAGCTGGCACTGGCTGATTCAAAAATTTACCACTTGGATAGACCCCTTGAGTTTTTTTGAATCAGTTGGAACCGGAAAGTCGCCTTGACCTCAATATTTATTTAAAAATAGTTAAGACGTGTCTTTCCTCCTTGACTCCCTGTAATGAATAGGTGAGTAACAAAACATAAACTTTACTCGCATTAGCCTAAAATGACTATTGTTTTGGTTGTAATAAAAATGACAAAAAAGTTGGACAATCATTTGAAACAAAATAAAGGTGTTAATTTAATTAGCCCACAAGATGAATTTCAATGAATTTTGTTGTTAGCATTTTTAATCCTTTTTAGTAATTATTATTTTTAATTTGCCAACGACGAAACTATATAAAGAAACATGGAATTTTACGACAAAGATAATACATGCACTCTTTAACAAACTTAGAAGTTGAAATACAAAAAGTAAATTATGTCTTGAAGTTCAATAATGATTCTAGTACCGTCATATACAAAGAAGTTGTTCCTAATAAGAAGAATTGTAACCCAGAAAAATAAGAATTTATTAAAAAAAAAAGTTACAAAATAACAAAATTGCCCATGAACCCAACTCACATGCATTGCATGTGGAAGCTAGCTCCTCGTTACGATTTAATGCCAAGAGTTAACATAATGACTTCAAACGAATACTTGGATTAGTAAGTATACTTGTAGTGGAAATGAATTAGAATAATGGCCTGTAGTGCAATCCAATCATAATATATGGACATGTTTGAAAATAAATACAACCATGAGCCACAATATGCGAAGATCAATCGAGTTTGAAAATAAATTTAATATTTTTTAAAAAAACACATTGAAATATACTGAAATAAAAAATATAAAAAGTTAAAAAGGGTTTTAAATTTTTTTTTTACATATTCAAGGTTATTTTAAAATTTTGTCAAACTATTGGGGTATTTTTGTTAAAAAAAAAAACTAATGAAGATAAGTTTGACGGGTTCTCTGCCCCTGCGGGGATGGAGCGACAAAAGTTTTGAGAATTCCAGAGAAGGTCACGCCGAGATGAAAATTAGGTGAATTGGACGAAATTGACAAAAATTTTAAATATATAGAATAAAAATGGCCACCTAAAAATTATAGGGTAGGATTGAAGAGGACGGCAAAACTTTAGGTTGGACTAACAATTTTCGATATTTAACTGTTTCAATTTTATTCACTTTATTTCTTAATTTCTTCTACATACTATTGAAATGTTATGTTTATGGGGAATACTATTCTAAATTGCTAGTAAGACTCTAATTGAGTCGTTTTTTTAGAGATCAACTAATGGAATCTTGTTTATAATCATTGGCGTAGGGCTTTATAATATTGGTATAGCGGGTAACACGTCTAGGACTTATATGTTGGTCAAGTGGGTTACCATTTTCAATGTGGGACAACTGTCTTTCAAGTTAAAAGGAGATTTTAATACTCTCTCTGAAGCCCAAAAGGGTTGTACAAGGTCCCTTTGACTGATGAAACCACGAATAAATGGTCGGATCAGTCAAAACCTCAATACGAGTATATATTAAAGCTCAACACGGTTGCCAGTTGGGTTTGAGGTGAAACCACATGTAGGCTCATATTTGGGCTTTCAAGAATTTTCTCAAGAAGCCAGATTAGACGACTATCCAGTCACAGTCTTTTGCAGAGTATTATGGTTGGTTTGATTAAAAGAGTGGGAGAAGATAAGAAAAAATCTATTCAAAAGAGGAGTAGAATTTTCGTTGGATAGAGGAAAAAAAAAAGGTAACATTAGTTCCGGAATGAATAAATGAAATAGATATGATTTTATTTTCTGTTTTTGATTTTTACCCTTAGTTCTCTCTTGCCAAGCCCTAGGATCGGCACTTTCACATCTTCTTTTTGTTGCCATGGCCGGTGATCAACCGCCGGCGACGCCTCCCCATCCATCTAAATCCTTTGCAAGTTTTTTTCAAAATCCCTCAGCGCCCGATGCCACCAAAAGCACCCTCATTAAGCAAGTGAAATTCATCAATGGTACTCCCACTTTGGAGTATGAGGAGGATGAATTTGAAAAGTTAGTAGCTCCGCATAGATTGAGCCTCGTTGAGAAATTTTCGTATGGCCGCCCTAAAATGGAGGAAGTCCATAAGGAATTCAAGAAGATAGGGTTTAATGGTGGTTACACATTGGGTCTTATAAACCCTAGACATGTTTTAATAAGATTTGAGCAAGAAGATAATTACCAAAGGTGTTCGATATGCACATTCTGGAACATTGCTGGTTTCTCGATGTGTATTTTGAAATGGGAACCGGGTTTTTGATTTGAGGAAGATCCGCCCGTTGTTCCAATATAGGTGTCGCTCTTTGACCTCCCGATTGAATTTATGCACCCAGAGGTCATTTATTCAATGGCAATTGCTTTAGGGCAGCCATTGGAGGTTGATGCGCTGACTTTGAACATGACGAGGCTGTC